TGAAGAGCCCTTCATAGGGTGCCATAAGCTGGAGGTTGTGTGGGAACCCAAAGTGGTGAGCCTTGGTGTAAGAGCAGAAACCTCTGGCCAGGAGGGAGTTGCTCAGACTCTGGATCCTGCGTAGCCATTAGCCATGCTCACTTTCCTGCTCTAACCCACACTGTAAAGACAAGTTGAATCGTGATTCCTGAGAGACTCTAGGGCTCTGAATTTCTGGGTGTGTGGAGAGTACCCTGCATAAAACAACAGCTTCAGAGGAAAGGAAGTTGGCTCAGTTATCACCAACTGATCATCAACATCCAGGGTCCCTCAAGAAAAGGAGAGCCAAGGTGCAGCCACCCAAAAGAGGTCTTGGAGTGACGAGGGAGGGCTGCCCTGAAGGAGGTGACATTTTGTAAAGGGACTTAAAGAACGGTTGGGATGGATGGTAGAAATTGTGAGATATGACTCCCCACCAGACAGAAAAGTTGAAGAAGTGAAAATGGGAACATTTCTGAGACTAATCTGGGCAGGAAGATTTCCACACTAGGGAAGGAGCAAGAGCCAGAATGCTAGGTGGAAGGGGGTGGCTTGTGGGGTCCCTGGGCAGAAGTTATCTTGGAGGGGCTGGCTGTTAGCAGAGGTCATGTGATGGCAGTGGTGCTTTTAGGAAAAGAATCTCCACCAGGGCAGGTAGAGGACAGGGAGGCTGGGAGGCAGGGGGGAAGTGTGGAGCCACAGAGCCCAAAGGATGTGTGATACAGAGGCAGAGAGGGAGGAAGGGTGGAACCTGACTGAGAGCAGGTTGGCAGTCCACAGAAGTTAGTTCCCCACCTTCTAAGTGCTGACACCGTTAGACACTGGGGACACACTGGTGAGCCAGACAGATGAGGGCCCTCACTCTGGGCATTCCTGGCATTCTGGGATGATAACAGGACAGTAATGTGTGCTCTTTCAAAGACTGGTAAGTGATGAGTGAGGTTGAGAGAGAGAAGAGAGAGAGGGACAGGGGCGTCAGACAGGCTGGAGAGAGCTCTGTTGTCAGGATGCTCCGGGGAAGGCCTGCTAGGAAAAGACTGTTTGATGTGCAGAGGTCTGGCACCAGGCAACTCCGAGCTGGAATGGCCTCAGCATAGGGGGAAAGCAGTTTAAAGACCAGTGTGGTTAAACACTTACATGCTCATTGTTTCTACAAGTTTTTATTGAGCACCTCAGCCATGTGCCAGAGGTTGTACCAAGGACAGGCAAAGCATCGGTGAGCACAGAAGACAGAAAGCCCCGCTTCCTAGGATATGTACTCTACCAGTGGGATAAGTAGTAAAAATCAGGGATTTCTGATTTATATTATGGTGCATTTATGTTGTAGCAGAAAACAACTAGGAACTATCAGAAAGAGAACATACATTTTTTTTCCCTAACTTTTTTCTGTTATACGTAATGCTGCAGATATATATATATATATAGTCTAGGATTTTTCCTCAGGATACATTTCCAAAAGTAGAATAACTCCCATTTCAAAGGTTTTCACACAGCAGATCAAATAGCTTTTCATTGACTTTAACCAATTTAGTCTTCCACAAATATAAGAATGCTTATTTCACTATACCTTCACCAACATTGTTACAAGTTTTTAAAATTTGTTAATATGCTGTGTCTCTGGTTGGTATTTGATCATGAAATCAAACATTCAATTTGGCTTTTTATTCCTGTGGGGAAAAGTTTGACTAAGCAAAGTAATGTAAGCAAGCTAGATGATGGGGCAGTTCTTACTCATTCTGGTTATTCTGTGGTTGGGACCAGAAATTGAACGACTTTGCAAGGTCACCGTTCAGGGACATCTTTCATCTCAAACTGATTCACGTTAACAGCCTCCTCTAAAAATAATTATTTGTTAAAGTTCCGTCTGGCAGGGTTGTTAGTGGGAATTTTAGCTACTATTACAGTAGAAGCTGGAAAGAAACACCAGTTCTTCTTTAAACAATTTCATATTTTAGGGCTTTCATTGAAACTTCGCCCTGTTATTCCAAAATGAGTAGGATGTGCTGTGCTTCTGTATAAATGGTCAGAAAGCACTGCAAGCATTCCTTAGCAACAGTGGCCTACCTCGAACACGCTACAGGTGAATTTTCGCCCTGCAGGGGACTCCCTGCTTAACTACAGCACCCACACTCCTACACCCCTGCTGGATCCCCATAATCACTGCCTCACACCTGGGACTGGAGGGCCCCCCTGCCCCCAGGGCTGGCGAAGGTGCTGGGAAAGGGCCTTATTGCAGAGAACCACCCAGTGAGGATGTCAGCACTGAGCTCTTTCCCCAAAGTAAGCGCTGCAATTCTTATATGGCCCCTCCATTTCACTAGTGTGTGTGAGCTTGTCGAGTGCCTTAGCGAACCGAGTGTTGCTGTTAACATTCATTCTACGTGAAAGTGCTTGAAAGTGCTTGTCAACTTTCAAACCAACACTTGACCTGAGCCTTCTGTGAGGGGAGGGCAATGCATGCTTCGGGGAGCCTGCTGATCCCTCTCACCACTGTCTCCTCTTCCTCAGTCTCTCAGGGGGCTTCTGGCACAGCCTGCCCAGACCTCGGAACAAGGAAACCACACTGGACGTGGGAGGTGTAGGGTCTAGGTCTGCATCCTGGTTTTGCTGCTGAGTGACCCCAGACTTGCGACCGCTCCCACCCTGGCTGTAAAAGCTAATTTGCTCATTCATCTGTGAACACGAAATCCACACACCGATCCCCGCTCTGAGTGCTGGAGGTCCTCTCCCAGTACCTTTACCCGGTATTTCAAAGATTTGTGTAGATTAACGTAAGAATTTGTAAACATGAACATTTCTGCTTGTGAGGGTACTGGGTGCCTGAAAACATTTTGAAAAAAATTTAAAAAAATTTAAATTTGAACGGATTTTGATAAAATAACCTCCTCTCCTCGGCTTTTCTCCAGGGAAAAGGTGAACTGGCCCTTTGTGAGTAGGGCAGCCCAGCAACTGTGAGGGAGGGGAGTGGAGGTTTTCCCTTACTTTTGACAATATGTGGCTGCCTCATGTCTGGTGGCCCTGAACTCTGTGAGGGTCCTGAGCTCTCCTTATTGCTGAGTAATCACCAGCTAAACCCAGGTTTGAACTTATCTGGAGAGAGCACAAGACTTGGAGTCCATTGCCTGTGCTCCATTTCTACTCAAATACTGTGTGACTGTGGACAGGTTACTTAGCCTTGCTGATTACTCAGTTTTCCTGGTATAAAATGGGAATACTGTTAGTACCCACCTCTGTGTGCTTGGTGTATCAATGAGACAGTGGTGTGTGTAGAAAGCTTTTCACTAAATCAGGTAAGTAGTGAAAATGCTTGTGGTGTTACCTGATTTTTTCTACATTTACTATTCTAAGTCATGTTTACATGATGTGCCTATTCTGTGGCTCCACAGCTTCACAGAAATGAGAAACTTAAGATGAAGTTAAAAATAACAATGAAGACAGCTAAAGATTTAAAATATAGCCTGCTAAGGTTGTTAAACAATTTCGGGTTTATTTATATAGAAAGCAGAGATCTAAAGTGTGATTTCATTTTGATGCTTCGAAAAATAGCAAGGTTGTGCTTAACAATTGTAGTTCCCACCCTGGAACCTCTTCATCAGGGTGAGGAATCTTCTCCCTGGGCCGGACCTGCCTGGGCACTGGTCAGTTCAAACAGGGATTCTTTCCCACTCTAGAACCTGTTCACAGCCACTATCAAGTACTCTCTGAAGATGTTCGGTATTCACCTGTTGTTTGGCTGTGAGTGGTATCTACTCCTTTCTTTATGTTCCCATTGGCTGCAAAGGATGGAGGAGGCCATCTTTGCCCCTCATTCCATATATACATAAGGAAATGTAAGTGCAGACTCTTGCATCATCTGAAGGAAGTTTTCTAGGAGAGGGATGGGCTCTGAGTGACCTCAGCCAAGTGATGTGCTGGTGAGTGCTGCATTAAGACTCAGGCAGTTCCTACAGAAAGCAGACTTTTCCTCTGCTCTGCCTCTGGCTCCAGAGCCCCATCCCAGCCCCTGCCAGTCGGCCGGTCCCAGCCCCATATCACTCCAGTCAGTCTCCTCCGACCCCTGAATAAGCACTCTCAGGGCATTTGCTAGGGCCACTGTATACATTTGTGCAGAGTAAACTACATGAGGTGGGTGGGTGAAGGGAGTCTCAGGGTGGGCAACTAAAATCCACCTACAATCCTACTTGCCAAGGAATGATCCCTGTTCCTGGAGGAAAGAGCATCTTTTTCCACTTTGCACAAGGGCTAGCAAAGACCCTGGCAATATCTAATCTGAACCCCTCTCCTTCACCTTCATCACCTATATCACCCTCTGTTGCTGCTGAAGTCTTTGGAGATTGTCCTCCATGAGCATGACTCCAAGAGCCCACGGAAAGCTGTAAAATGCACAAGGGAGTATGTGCTGGCCTCACTGATGACCAGTGAGTGACAAGGAATGAGATGGGCCATTGTCCCACTCACCACATTGAGCATCCCTCTGGCTAGCACAGTGCATGTGGCCACAGATATGGGCTTGCCTGCAAGGGCCCTTGGTGAGCACATCATGGCCTGGGGGCTAGAGGAGGTGTCCCCCAACACACTGGAGGGGCACGTCAGTGATGGGCCTGAACAGCGTCTTCTAGGATGCACAGGACCCGGCAGGTCCACTTCCCTTGGGTGGTGGGGGTCTGTTGTGCCGAGGGAACCATGAACAAGCATTGCCTGGATGAGCAGTTTCAGAAGGCCCAGTAAGTCTGCAAAAAGCCTGACCTCTTTCACCACCAACTCATTCCATCAGGGGAAAACAAGTGCATAGATTTTAAGCTTTGAAAACTCTGTATTAGCAAAAATAATAATGCTAATCATTATCCTTTATTTGGGGTTCTAGTTCTAGGTTTTTAAATAATTATGTTCAGAATTAGTGGCCCCAGGAAATTTTCTGGGCTCTTGCTTTGGGACAACATGCTAAGTTTTGTTTTTTGTTTTTTTTTCTTTTCCTCCCCCAGATACTTACTGGAGCAAGATTTCCCAGGCATGAGGATTGGTCCAGAGCCCACCACTGATTCCTTCATTGCTGTGATGTATGGGGAGACGGAGGGCAATACCCCAGGGAATGCTTTAGTCGTGGACCCCAAAAAGCCATTTCGAAAGCTTAGTCGCTTTGGAAATGCCTTCCTGAATCGGTAAGTACCAGCCAACTGCCATCGTTGGTTGGGTTATTTAAACCCTTTCTTTGAACTCTTGCCAGCTACAATAAAGGGGCAAAAACAGAAGATCAGCGTATGTGGGTTCTAGAAGTTATAAAGAATATGCTTATCATATTCAAATACTTGCAAGAGTAAATATCATAGAAATGATCATTTATACCTCTCTAAATGGCTTCAGTAGACAGAGCTAAGGCCCAGGATTGAATATTGTAAGGCCCCACAGTATAAGAAACAAATATCTAACAATCTGAGCTGCAGACAAATGGATCCAGTTGCCTTGGGAGCAGTTGCCTTGTTACGTGGTTCTGTGTGGCCACAGATTTGGGGTGCTGGAGCCTCCTGGATGGCGTAGCCCAGAGGATCCCTGAGGTCCCCCGACACCCAGATTTGGTCTGTTTATTATGCTCCAACTGTCACCTCACCCCCCTGGCTGTCCCCACAGGCTTTTTACTCGCTTGCCTTGAGCTGCTTCCTAATGCATTAGTACAGGACAGGAGAAATGGAGTCAAACGCATGGTCATTACTGTATAGCTATGAAGCTGTAGGAAAAGGGGTTCTGTCTTAACTGGAGATGTTTTATTGTATTACCCAGTAACCTCTCACCAAAGTTTCCAGTGAAAAGAAGGGTGCTGGAGCAGAGGACAAGCCCACAGCCTCCCTTTCAAACAAAATTTGCTCTTCGTATCTCTACCCCCTCCTTTTTGTCTACCCTAGCCTCTTTTTAAAATTCTTTTCTCTTTCATTTCTCCTGTTCTTGAGTCTCCTGCTTTCGGCTGGTGGTTTAGGAGAATGGGAGGAGCCAGGGAGGAAAGGTTCCTCTGAGCCTCCTTCAGGAAGAGGAGGGGCGGGGGGGCAGAGCTGAAGACAAGAGATTTAAACCACACTTCTCCTTTTAGATTTTTTTTTGAGATATTTATTTTTATTTATTTATGTATACAAGAAGCTGGGGTGTGGGCCAGAGGTGCAGGAGGATGAGAGGATTCACCAGAGACAGAGTGGGGGGCAGAGCAGGCACTGAAATACACTGCTGAGGGGAGCAGCAAGTGAAAAAGGAGAGGTTTGCAGTGCCGTGTGGGTCAGCTCCCTGGGTTGCTGGCAGTGAGTTGCTGTACAGATGAGTGTTTTCATTTTGGGTTTTCTGGTTGTTGTTTTTTTTTTTTTTATATATATATAAGCTTCCTCAAATCACTTCCTTAATTTTTTTTTTCTTTCAAGCTTATTTTAAAATTATTCTTTTGTATTGAGGTAACACTCAATATATGTATATGTATATGACTTGGGGATCAAGGGTCACACTTCCTCAGGTGGGTTACACCCTTTACCCACTGCCAAATAATCCTCCACCACAGATCATCAGATGAGCTTCAGCCTGCAGGGTTCTTTCTTCTGAGAGTTCACTCCAACTCCAGGCATCTGGGTTGGCCCAGAGTGTCCCCTGTGGAAGAAGGACGGCTTGAGCCCAGGGGGACAAGTGAACCACAGCTGAGGGAAAGTGGGACGAGAAACTCCCTCTTCAGGGCCTCCCAGGGAGTGATGGTTCTGGGGAAGGACACAGCCAGGCTTCCCGGCCCAAGGCTGAAAAGTTCTGGAGGCCTTGGAAAGAGCAGGGCACAGGACCCTTCTCCCTGAAAGGCTGCTTAGAATTCTGTGGCTTCATTACCCCTGCCCTTAGTCTTTCTGCCTTAAAAAAGAAGGTGCCACTTTGTTCAAATTCCCATTTTGTGAAGTCCATATTTACACAGAAAGAGTGGCCATTGGCTTGTTTTATTTTGGCAGATGATTCACTTTTCTAATCTTTTCTAATCTCATACATACAACAGATGAATATTTACTGTATCAGATACTATTCTACAGCTGTACGTTCGCTGTGAATCCTCACAAAACCCAAGACTTAGGGTTTGTGACTTATCCCCTTTGGTAGAGTGGAGGGATGGATGCCAAGAGAGGTTAATTTAACTTAATTTAACTTCATGGGTTCACTCAGCTGATAAGCGGCAGCACTGGGATTGGAACCTGGGCCCTCGGATCCAGAGGCCTGCTGGAGTCTACTACTCTGAGCTCATGTGGACTGAGAACCATTGCCTGCTGCTTCCTATTTAACTTACAAGGCTCCCTTAACCCACTGCCACCTCCAACAGTGATGAGGAGGAGGAGGATTATGTCCCAAGTCATAGGTTAATGACTTCATAGACACTCCTTTGTGGGGGATTAAAAGACAGACTGTGGCCACTTATCAGATGAGAAAACTAGGGCCTCCGTGGTGGCGCAGTAGGTTAAAGCCCAGCACTACGAAGCTAAACACACTGGTTCAGCACGAGTTCCATCGCCAGCCCTGGAGGAGACCACATGGCGCAGAGACCTCACCTGGCCCGCCCGCTGCTCCCCTCAGCAGTGTACTTTGTCAATCTGCCTGTTCTGCTCCCCACTCTGTCTCTGATAATTCCTTTCACTGCCTCTGTGCCTCTGGCCTGTACCCTAGTTCTGTAGGCATAAATAAATACACCTTAAAAAAAATGAGAAAACTGAGCAGGAAGAAGTACAGTGACTCACTCAGGAAGCTGAAGATTCAAGACTAGAGTTCAGGTTTCTTCTTCCCTCTGTCTACCACCAGCACCTCACAACGTACTGGCATAGAGTTCTGTGCTGACAACTGCATATGTGATATACACATATGGGAGGCAGAGCATGTAAATTAATAGCATACTTAAGAATAAGCTGCCCAGTGAAGTCGTTTCCACGTGCTGCTGTTTCACCCAGCCCTGATGTAAGGAAGGGTGTCCGTGTAGGGCACGCGAGTTTGTGTGTGTAATGATAGCAGCCCTCTGGGAACCAGCTCTAGGCAGGCAAACTTTTTACACTGCATAGTTTTCTGGGAACTAGGTCAAAATACAATATTTAGTAGGAAAGAGAATTGGTTGTTCGCTATAGAGAACTTCTTCCCGTGGGGTAACCCCCAGTCACCCCTGGAATAGGTATCATTGCTCTGGCCCTCTCATTACACAGGTATTGGCTTGGGCACCTGCCCTAAGGGCCATCATAGTTTAGTACTTTGCAAGATGGTGATGATAACATATTCTCAAAGCATTAAGCAAACCTGTGGAGCCCAGTTCTCACCAGACTTAAGTTGATTTCTAAGAAAGGAACAGAAGGTCTATAGTGCGTCCTTAGAGATGAAGATCAACTCCCCAAAAAGCAGCTTCACATGACAGAAACTTTACACTTGAACTTTTAAAGAAGTAGAACAAAAGCAGTCTGTGGAAATGACTTGAATGTGACATTCCGGACACAGCACGCTTCTTGCCTTTGGAGAGGAATTCCACAGGCTGGCCTGACTTGGAGTTCTTCCAAGGGGAATGTGGTTGTCAAGGTTCCAAACATTTGTTATCGAGAGGCAGTCCCATCTCAGAGAGGAGGAGCCAGACAGACCCCACAGCACCCCGAGGGCGAGGGCGCAGGTCCTGGGTGGTGCCTGTGTAATCTGGTCAGGTCCGAGAGTATCTGTGATGGCTTCTGACATTTCCCTCTGATTTTCAGATGGATGCTCTATTTTTTCCACAATCTACTTTCCTAAAAATGGTAGTCTTTGTTGTTGTTTTGTAGTTTAGATAGCTATAGACACTGGTTTTAGTTTAGAATCTAGTTGTAGTCTTTCACTCTTAATTTCATTTACTCCTTCATTGTCTCTTATTTTTTGAAAAATAACTTCAATCAGGGCCTTCCCTGGTGGCACAACAGGTTAGAGTACAGCACTGTGGAGCTGACCCACATGGAACAGCAGCCCTCTCCTGTCTCACCCGTTGCTCCACGCAGCAGTGTATTTCTGTCGAGCTGCCTGTTCTACTCCCCACTCTGTCTCTGGTGAATCTTCTCACCCTGCTACACCTCTGGCCTGTACCCCAGATCTTGTATGCATAAATAAATAAATCTTAAAAGAGAAAAAAATAACTTTAATCACTGGTGCAAGGAATACAAATTTTAAAGTTTCCCCTGGAGTTTGGGGAATCTGAGCAGTATTTGTTACAGAGCAGGGAAAGGGGCACCTCAGAACTCCCAAACCTGCCTGCTCTAAATAGATTCTGCCATCCACCACATTAAGACAGGGTATAGGAGATTTTTAATGGAAAGGAGCTTTAATAAAGTATTTAGTACAGCTAGTATTGTTAGTGTGCAATACAGAAAAGACAATATAGTTTCTAAATCAGACACCAGAGTTACCCATCCCCTTGTAGGTAAAAGTCCACTCAAACAGGAGTGGCCCAAAGCAAGACCTGAAAGCCCACCATGAGTCTAACACCCTCCAGCAGGGACCCATAGAAGAGGATCAGAAATGGCCAGACAAGTCTGGGAGAAAAAGAGCAAAGTCAAAATCTAGATAAAAGCTGCCATAGTAAACTCCCCACGGGTCTCTCCCCGACATCTGTTTCAACCTGACCAGGGCCAAAAGGCAAGCCAGCTTCTTCACGTGTCTCAGCGCTATGGGCCTCCTCCACGTCTCCTCTAGCCTCCATCCTGCTGCCTCCCTTCCCCAGTCTCCTCTCCAACTTCTTCTCCCTACTCAGCTCCACCCTCCCCTGGGTGGAGCAGGGAACCTGGAACCTCTCCCCTTTTCCTGGGGCCCACCCTGTTAGATTTCCAGCACTCCTGTCATTTGAGCCAGGCCTGATGACCAGCCTTAAGTTTCTACAATGTCTCAGCAACAATGAGACTCATGGTTATGCATCTGGACTTCCATTCCATTTGCTACCTCTGTTTATACTTAAATGAGACTTCATTTGGAGTCTTAACTATTTCATAGTCACCTAGTCTTACTGGGAATTTTTTGAAAAACAAACCTAATGTAAATACAGAGTGTCATCCCCACCAGCTATGTTAGTTTCAGAGATAAAGGAAAATCTGGTCAAGAATCACTCTTAACTCACCAGCAAAATTTTTGTTTGTTACCTGAGAAAGTAACTGTACTTTTTTTTTATGGTATATTTATCCATACCACATTCCCTGAAGTTCATCTCATTGATCTTCAACCTCAAGATTTGTGAAGGCTCCAGGGACATGAAACCATTGTTCCTTATGGGCAGCTGCCATGCCATGCTGGCCCAGACAGTCCAGAAAACTGCTTGGCTCCTGGTCCTAGCAACGCCCTGCACCATGGGCAGCGGGGAGAGAGGCTTGAGTGAGAAAAGTTCATATGTACGTTGAACCAGTATTCACCTTTGATCTGTAAAAGCAGTAATTTTGTTAGGACCCCATCTCAGTGGCCACTGTGGACATTATAAAGTCTAGATGTGACGTTAAAGTCCCGCTGGGCGATGGAAGGTCAGATCGGCCATTTACGGTATGACCAGAAGATGGTAATTGTCAGCATATGTGGAAAGAGGTGGTTTGAAACACTCCGTCTGCGTTGTGTAGAGGTGTAGTTGAAGCTAATGGCAAAGCTGGAAGTCCTCAGGCTGTAGAAGCACCCAGAAGCCTGCCGTCCCCCAAGGAGAGGAAGGAGAGGGAACAACAGCAACAGCTCCAGCCCGCCTTTGCCTCCTGGTCGCTGCTAGCCCTCCCCCGAGGGGGAGAGAGAGCAGGTGGCACCAGGAGCCCCCGGTGGGAGTTCCAGGGACATGGCACCACTCTGCGGTTTTAGGGTGCTGCCTCTGTGTGAGCTCCACCCAGGGGGAGTGCAAGTGCGTGTGGGAAAGTGTAGCAGCAGCGTGGTGCACAGGCTGCCCTGGGGTCAGCACCTGGCTCTCTCACTTACCTGCCATGTGGCTTGGCAAGTTGTGGGGCTGAGCCCTCGCTCTGGCCCTTTGTGAAATGGCAGCACACAACCTCCCCCTCCCCCGCCCCTGCCCCCAGAGGCTGTGCCAGGATTCAGGAGTTCATGTGTGCTAAGATGCCCCACACCGCAGCTGGCCACTCCACGTTCTGGTGACAGTGCCCTACATTGTTTGGAAATGAAAAGCAGCAGTAAGGCACTGCCTGATTCTTCTAAAATGGAATGTTAGTGTTTGGGGGCAATCTGAGCCCCTGCTCCTCTCACCTCTCTTATTATGCAGAAGGATGCCCCCCAGGTTTCCAGAGACCTGGACATCTGCACCACCCTTTCCCCCACACTGTCTTCTACCCCTGAGCCTGCCTTGCTTAAGGGGTAACATGGAATGGGGGTCCCGTATAGAGCTTGGTGCCCTTCTCCCCTCCTTTTTTCAGAAATAAAAGGTAACAGGTCAGCCCGAGCTGAGGAGACACTTCCTGAAAGCTGAGTGAGGCTCCCAGGCTTCACCACATCCCCGCCCTGCACGTGGCTTGTAGAAGCCAGTGCTGTGTGTCCCGCCCTCCCGCGAGGAGCAGGAAATGCATCTTGGGGCGGCAGAGCCATCCCAAACCCCATGGCAGATGCAGGTGCGTGGCGAAGACCTGATGCAAGACTGACTTCCATACACCCAATAAAGAAAACCTTGCTCTTCACCCTCCTCTCTTGCAGCATAAAAATGAAGCCTAGCAGCCTTGTATTAGGGCATTTTTTTCTGATTGCTGTGTAACTTTTTAAATACGTGTGGTTCTAACTCTAGAGCATGAGCTATGCCTCCACCTGGGGGTCAGGGTGCTGACTGCTCTGTTCCTCACTGCACCCCAACATGCCTTCTGTTGGGGAGTACAGCCCAGCTTCGCACATACAGCCCTATTCACCCTATTTTGGAGTGGCCCTGGAGAATTCCCCACACTCCCTCCTCCTCTTTCTCCCCCTCTTCTCCCTTCCATTCCCCTCCTCCTCCACTGCATGGTAACATAGCCACATCTTGTCTGTGCCTCACACACCGCACAGAGGGAGTGAACCCAGTTCCGGCATGTTGGATCTTTCTGTTAGCGTCACACTAGACTCCAGGAGTTCGGTGTTTTGGAATAATTGCTATGGAGTGTAACTTCGTGATTTCTGAGGAAAGGTCAGCCTTCCAGGGGAATACGCTATGTAAAAGAGTTTCACATTTGTATAGTTTTTTTAGTATTGCCAAATGTCTCAAGCCATCTGGTTAAAAGGCTGGGATCGTGATGAGACAGAATCACTACCGACATGACCACAGACGGGCTCAGCACTCTGTCCCAGCCCCAAGTCTAGAGAACCCAAGTCTAGAGAATGGAAGGTGTGATGTTCCCTCTTGCACTCACATGGAGTGCCTTGTGGCCCTCGTGTGTTCTCACAGACTACTCTTTTAAGTGTTGGCTGGTGTGGGGAGTGTTTCTTTGAAGGTGGAGGGGAAGAGAAAATGAGGGAGTTCTTTTATATTAACTTGACCATCTACTTTTAATATTATGAGGTACTGAAATTTGGGGGTTGAGTCTACTCACCTGATATCAGAAATCTCAGTCGTGGTCAGTGGCATGACCTAGAGATGTCATCACTACTTGATACTCCCAGCTTTGCCAGCTACAAAATGACCTTGCTGTCTGTTCCTACATCTCCCCAGGCTGACTTGAGAATTTAGGGGTACATGAGAAACTTGTCCAAAGCACCTTCAAAGAAAGTCACTCTGAATTGTTGAAATTGCGCCTCTTGCTCGAGGCTGCCCACTCCTGCCCCCAGGGCCACGCTGTCCACGTGTGACTGTGAAGGGCAGGCCTTCCCATCCTGCATTCCAACATTCTTGCTTTCTGAGTGTCCTTCCAGCTCCACTGAGTGGAAGAAGTGAGTTTTCCCCAAGCATTCTGAAGCTCTCTGCCCACATAGATACAGAAGTTGGCCTTTTACAAGACAGGAAAAGGAAAGCCATTATTTTTTCTGCTTTAAGACATACACAGTGCCTAGCAGAGATCCACCCTCAGCTCTTATCCTAGGTGGAAGTAACAGTGTCTCCCTCTGCTACTCTAGGGTTACACAGTGTTACAGATAAAGCAGGCCATCATTGGCCCCTGAACCAAATATTGGGAGGCGGTGGGGGGTGGATTCTTCCAAATGCACTTAACAAAGTACTAGCAGAATCTTGAGGGGTGGAGTGGTGTCAAATGAGAAGGCATCATACAAGTGATAGACAAGGAAGGAGGCTTGGAAAAACTCAGCCCTGCTCCCTTGCATGCTCTTAGGGCACCCTTAGGACACTGAAGCGCCAGGAAGATTTGTGGCACTGCCCACGAGTGCTTGCCCCAACCTGGGCCTGAGGCCATAGTGGGCCCCAGGTTAGATGCTGAGTCCCCAGGGCATCCATGGAATGAGGTCCTAGTACTTCCACTGTCATACTGGGGATTAGGCAGGAGCTGGACACTCCAGCCCTGTGGGGCACTCACCTTGGAAAAGGCATAAGACACCCTGGGAGGAGAAGCCCAGGCTGCTTGGCCCAGGAATCACATGGAGGAGGGGCAGGTAAGGTTGTTGGGCTTTGGAGTCAGGCCAGCCTGGGTTAAGGCCCAGCTTTGAGTGACACCGAATAAGTAATTTAACCTCTCTCAGGCTAACATTCCTTAAGGGTTTACTTTGAGGAACTAATGGGATGGTGTTTGTGAAATACCTAAGGTAGGGTAAGTAGCTGGCGGCAGGTAACAGCAGGTGCCGGCCATCATCCCCAGACAGCATCAGATGGCCCCAGCACCAGGGGAGGGGCTGTCGGTCTCACCCGAGCTCCCATGTTACAGACGCGTCGCAGCAGTCACGGTGCTCCTTGGAGCACCCCTCGGGTGTACTGCTTCTGATTCTCCTTTGATCGATTCCTCCAGGTTCATGTGCTCCCAGCTGCCCAACCAGGTCCTGAAGAGTATCAGCATCATCGACAGCCCCGGCATCCTGTCTGGAGAGAAGCAGCGTATCAGCCGAGGTCAGTTCCCACCCTGCCTCATCCACACGGCCCAGGCTCTTTCTGATGGTAGCAGAGGGCCTCTGTCCCTGTCTGGTTCTCTCCTTCCTCCTGGACCTACCCCATGTCCCCGAGCAGCCCTGGGTCCCGAGCTTAAGGAGCTCTGAGAAACAATCCGAGGTCAGAACCAGTCTGCTGTTTCCACTGGGAATCTTCTGTAGCCTTGGCCATAACCTTCCCACTCTTTTAAATACTGTCATCTTCTACTTGTATCCACCTCAGATCAACCTTCAGAGGTCAGGAGGGGACATATCACCTGCCACCTGTGCACTTGGGGACACATGATAAAAAGTAAAGTGGCAAGCTGGCCAGCCGGGGATAGAAGCCTCCCACTGCTCTTCTTCCCTGTATATTGCTCACCCGGCAGCCTCTGCTTCTAGCCAACAAGCCTTTGTTGGTATCGACTTGGTACCGGACACTGAACTGTACTCTGGGGATGCAGAAAAACAGGTGCAGTTTCTGCATCGGAGGAACTATTAGAATGTTCTGGTCAGGAAAAGAGGCACTAATCAAATGACAGAGAAATAACAAAAAATGGGAGTTGGGATACTTGCCCTGACACTCAGGCCTCAGGGTATGGGAGTTGTTGGGGAGCCAGCCTGTCACTGAGGGACTTGGGAAAGGCTCCTCAGAGGAAGTGATTGAACCAGAATCAGGTTGAGTAGGAGTTACCTGAGCTCGGGTGAGGAAAGAGGGGCTGTAAGCATTCCAAGGAGATCTACAGAGAATAGAATGTTTGTAAAGAAGAGAGACATCTGGATGTCTTCAACCTTTGGAAAACAAAGCTGAGGCTGTAACTGTTTCCAGAACCCCTTTGTGGTTAAACGGATGTGCCTGCTGTCTCACCCTCCTTCCTGGAGAAAGGGGCCATTGGTGCAGATCAGAGGACATAGCTCCCTTAGAGAGGGGACATTCCTGACCAGAAGGGCATTAGGATGGAATCCTGTGTCGACAGAGAAGGTTGAGTGAGGGGAGTTCGGAGGCTTTGCTAGGAAAAAGACAGTGGAACTGTGCATTGTTGTCTGTTCTCCTTGATAACCCCTCACAACCCCTTGAAAAGCAAGTAATAAGTAAGTCATCGAGCAGTGACCTGACTGCCATCATGGGCTTGGGCTGTGGCCAGGCAGTGCCCTCCCCCAGCACTCCTGAGGTCCCGTTACTCAGGCCAGGGGGACATGAGCATGAACTCCAGAGCAGGAAGCCTGTGACAGGGATGAAGATGTGACCTCCTTTCTCGGAATTTCAGAGATTCAGACTGGGCATCCTCTGGGGACCCATGGGTGCTTGGGTCTGCCTTGACGTATTTTCCTCCCCATTGAATCAGGGACTCAGTAGGCCATTAGGCAGCCTCCCAGGCTTCCATGAATGTTGCAGTTCTAGAAAAGGGCAGATGAATACTATTCTTCTCTCATAATTATCTTTGTTGGTTTTATTTTCCACTATAAAATTAATGTCTGTTATAAAGGATTCGCACAATCAATAAGGTATAAAAATCTGTCACAAATAACATTTACCAGTGGTTTTCTCTACTCTCAAAAAGTCTACTTAGGCTTTGTCTTCTTCAGGTACAAGCATATCATTTTTAACAGGAATGGTATGAGAGAGCACACATTTTCTACAACTTGACTTTTCATGACAGTCGACCACAGGCGTCACACCATCCCTTTTAACACTGCTTGGGTTCTATCAAAGGGACATAACCTAGTTTAAGTAACTTGTGGCTACTATGAGTCTTTGTAATTACTCACTCTACAAATAGTGCTACAGATGGGGCCATCTTTGTGCCTTAGTGCCAGTAGACTTTTTTTTTTTAAGTCAGTATGGAGCCATTAATTTGGTCCCATAAAAGTTGGTCTGCAGATAAAATGTTTTGTTACAAAACGGAAAATGAAGCAAACCCAGTTCCTCAGCATTTTCTGGCTACTCCTCTTTCTCTACTTCTGCATGTGACCAAAGTGTGCTAAATGTTTGTGGTTGATAACAAGTCTTTCTTTTTCCTTCAGAATCTTAAGACTTTGAGATTTAACTTCAACCTTACTCACGTCTTTTGCTTGGGAGGCCTTTGGCCAATTCTAGTCATCATTGCTCAGCGTTTCTCCTTTGCTTTGTAATTATAAGTTTCTTTCAAACTGCAGCTCTTTTGCAGCAGGATACCTTGGCATGAGTTTTCAAGGTGCTTTGAAGATCAGTTCCTTTTAACACTTTATAATAATCTGACTCACATCCTGGTCTGACTTAGCATGGCATATATTATTCACATCCTATGCACAGAAATAGCACATAGGGTCCCAACTAGTAGGCCGGGCCCCACCACCCTGACAGACAGAGCAGCTGCAGGGGAAGGACAGAGAACCAAGGCCATGGGTCCCGATCTTGGGTGCCATCCAGTCTTTGGGGCACAGCTAGTGGTTGGAGTCACTGAGCAGAGACTTTCAGCACATCACCACCTAAGAATGTGCAGTATTTTAAAGCTACTTCGGCTTAAACAACTCCATTACCAAACATGCTCATATCTACGTCATTCCTCCATTGTGGGAATCACATCATCTTCTTCACCAGTCATTTATATCTGTCAATATTGGATGATGTCATGGCAACAGATTGTGATACACATAGACACACACACACACACACACACACACACAACACTGGAAATGTCTGCCTTTGACTTTGTTAGTGGGGCTTTGCCTTCTTTAAAGGTGTCTTGTGAAAGAGGAAAGGAGGCAGCTGGCATCCCTTCTCGTGCCTGATGCTGTTGATGTAGATTAGCCCTCCGCAGGCACGGTCTCATCAATCAGGCCCCTCTTAAATGCTTAGTTTCGCACAAGTGTGTGTCCACCATAGCAGCCTGAGCGAGCTGCCCTATACTGAGAGTTGCTGTCTTCTGCACCGTGCTAGTCCTTCAGGGCTTCTTCTCCAGTGAAACCTGCACATGATCACATGCACACTGATGCTTAGCCCCGGCCACAAAACCACCTTTGCCTTCATTTCCTCAGGATAGCAGAGCCTTCCAGGCATTGGGAGAATTGTTGCCCAGTTGCTGGTCAGCTGGGTGATGGAGCTTTACATCTGGGGAAGGGATAGAGTAGAAACTGCTGACAAGATGCCACTTCTAGAGAGCAGACTTCGAAGGTGAGTGCCTCAGGCAGTCGCCGGTGGCCCAGTCCACCCTCAGCCTGAAGGACTGGACAACCCTGTCTGAGAGCATTCAGGAGAGAGGTGTAGCTGCAGGAGTGAGTGGTGAGTGTGTGGTGACTGCTGCTGAGCACCCAGGAAGGCCCATTGTGCCACACCCAGCGTTCCCCTCCTCAGCATTGGCCAAGGCAGATGGCAGACTGCTTTGCTGGGGGTGGAAAGGAAGGAGGAGGAGGTGAGCTAGAGGACTGGTCTCATATTTCCATGGGCAGCTCTCAGCACCTAGGGCTCAGCTGTTTCAGAGCTCTGAGGACCGGCTGACCTAGGGAGGGCGTGTCTCCAGGAAGGACTCCTTCTCCTCTGGCTTCATGGTGAATGCAGAAATGGGGCCTCAGAGCTGAAGTCCAGTTCTGCGCCTTACCTCCTCTGTAGCCCCATTCTTCCTGGTTGGTTCTGCTCTCTCCTAACATCATAATCCTGGTTCCTTTTTACAGAAGGGACCAGTGTGGTTCTAAGGAGGACATGGGCATTTTGTAGACATTGGTCCTCTAGGCCAGAATGAGCTGGTGAGAAAAACACTGACACTGGACATTTCTACATGATAGTTCCCATTTTGTAGTGTTAGGTTTGAGGTAAACCCACTTCTTAATTTATAAGTGATCATTACCAGTTAGAATGTGTTTTAATATAGCCTTTTCATCTGTGGAATCTGAACACTGACTCTTGCCATCAGGCCACTGAACCCCTTGCCCCCCAACTCTGTATTCCAGAGTATAACAATAATGCATAGTCAGCATTTGGGGAAGCAATGTTTTCTAAATCTGTTTGGAAGTACTATAAAGAAAATCCACTAGGATAATTGATTTTGGAGCAATTTTTAGTATACTACTTAGTATAGAAACTGTTACCCTTCAAATGTTCCTTAGTTTAATTTCTTAGCAGAAAACCTCTAGGAACAAAATTATTAAATTGTAGCTTTCTTGCCAGCCATGAAGAATTCATGGAGTAGGGACAGCATGTTCTGATATATTTACTATATATATTGTAATCAGTACTACCTAACAGCTACCTAAATGTCCCACAAACTTTTCTTGATTATCTTCAAGTTAAGAGATTAAGATTTTCAAAATCATTTCATGAAGTACATGGGTCAGATCTGACTTGGGTCACTCTTGAGAACTTTCCTCTCCCTGGTAAAGAAAGACATCCAGATTTTTCGCCTCCATGAGGAAAAGAGATTGCATTTATCTGCACATCCTTATTTGGCATCTGAACTGTTTGCTTCCTTAAAAAATTGTTTATTTCATGCTGAACCTGAGCCTCACCGAGGGTTTATTTTTGGATTTGGCAGGGCCATGACTGCATTTCCGGTTACATGGTATAAACTTCTGGGTTCTGGGTGTATAATGTCCCTGTCTGACAAGGAGAACATTTTGAAAAATTCTAATGTTGTAACTGTTATACTTATCCATCCACCTAGCACACAAGCATTTGAAAGGTTTTGTCTTCGTAAGTAATTATTCCTCTGGTTTCACAAAAGTATGAGGTTTTGTGTAACTTTTGGCAGGCTTGACTTCAATAATAAAAGTAGTAGCAATTTTCTTTTGTAAAATTTTTAGTAACTCTAGAAGAAAAGGAAAAAAAAAATCTTGATCTGAATCTCCCAGTACTGTACCTAGTCTCCCAGGACCAACATCTGTCAAATGGAAATGTGAGTGTGACTTCTGCTAATGACAAGCTCTTCTCTATATATAAGCTTTTGTATTATAAGTCAGTGAATAGAATTGAGAAGAGAGTGAAAAATAAAGGGACAGAAAACGCCCTGT